GGCCTGTACCTCGAGGGCCACAGAAAGTGGTGCCTTTCGCGCAGATGGACTAAGATGTTCGTTGTGTTGGCTGCCTTACCCCCGAAATCAACCAAGTTGGGGTACGTGCGCTTGAGAGGCCTGCATGGAAATGGAACAGAGTCTTCGGAGGGGTATCCGTGTCCACTGTCGTGGTGCGGAGCAATCATGGTGACTCTGCAGCCCACATTCAGGGGGAGCAGGACGAAGCCATCGAGAGCCAACCGCACCAATCGGATTGCGCATCATGGCTAACCGGACTTGTTTTGCCGATGAACATTGGCCGATTGAGGTTCACTGATTTGATCTCGCAGCCAGGGACGCGGGCAGCGAGGTGAATGCCGACAACGATTTTCTGCACGGCGACTCATTCTTGAACGGCGCACTGATTAATACCTAGTCAACGACCTCCAGGTCTGCCCTGCAAAGGTATCAGTGTTGCCAGAACAGCGTTGCCAATAGCTTCCAATACCATCACATGACGCAGAGCACCTGTGGGACCTCCTGCATGTTGGAAGAAGGGTCAGGACAAAATTTGTCACTCATCAGCTAATCAGTGCATCGCCTGGCTTCTATATGAAGTAAGGCCGGCATAATGATTTCTGTGGACTGTAATGAGCAACGCAATGGTTGCCCGTTTGTTCACCTGCTTCACCCCGAACGTGGCAAATTGTCAAGCTTCACAATGACTGATAGGGCTGATACTGATTAGCACCCCAAAAAAGTGCTCTGTGACTGCTACTGTTGGGTCTCTATACTAGAAGGACCTCTTAGCAAACGCACACGACGTACTACATCGAATACTGTCTGAATATTCGTCTTCGCTTCCCTTCTTAAAACGAATCAAATGCATTCTGACTTCCCAACGATAAGCGCAATCTGGGCTGTTCAAGCAGCCGAGGACATGGCTTCTCATCGATTGACGGAAGTCAAAGTTGTGGGATTCCCTGACTGGCTGCTGCACCCGCCGCTGTATGTAGTCGACTACTGCACCTACCTCAGAGCTGACAGTCCGTAGCTACACCCTCCAGCACAACATCGTTCTTGAAGTCGACCAGCGCGTCTTGATTGGATACATGAACAATTGGCCAGTGTTTCGTGGAAATGTGCAACATCGCCTGGCAGCTGCAGGTGAGTTAAGGATAGAGATCGTCGGCATGATTCCTCTCGGCGACAATGGCAGCCTGCCGAAAATTTCCCGCCCTCTTGAAATTATCGCGCATGTTGTGGGAACCTTCAAAAACGTCACCAGAGTCAATCGGCGATCCTGACACCATCATACGGGACCTCGAAAACATTGGGATGCTCGATTCGACCGTTTGCGAGAAGCTTCATATCAACAACTAACATTGCGACGATGAAAAAAAGAGGGTCGGTCATTGAAGACTGGTTCACCATAATCATGAACGCGTTTATAAAAGCGAGAGTGCCTGACGCCGGGGAAAGTTTGGTCTTGGACGATGAGCTCGTCGAGAAAGCAAGGAAAGAAACGGACGACCCCACCATCCATGTTTATTGCAACTAGTAAGTTTCTCTTGTCCTGCGCCGAAGGGCTTTGATGACTGATAAATTTTCAAGCTATTCCATCTCAGCAAAATGAATGTCTCGGCCGTGGGAGTTGTAGGATTGTGGATCTTTGAGAGGATGATTTAGTGGCCGACCGCCAGTACCCCAAGGATCTCGGGCATGGCTGCCAAAAGGCTGGAAGGTATATTTCAAGAAATTTCCCCAATTATTCTCGCTCCCTTTATTTGAGCGACCATGAGCGCTTCCGTTTGCTCTTTTGCCTGTCGTTGCGCGCCTTTGTGAAAACCTACAGTAACGAGACCTGCGAACATCAGATGTTTCAGCGCCACTGTCAGCTATGTAGTGACAGTTTTCGGGTTTGTGGGAAGAAGACGGGCGGAGAGTCCACTGCTTGTGCCAATGTCCCATTGGTTATCTCAATGGATGTTGGCGGGGTTGCCTTGGCTCTTCAGCGGCGAGCTGTGCCTTACCTGTCTGTGCCAAGACGTTGTGAACCACCCAGACGCTCTTGTTGGGGGCTATTTCGGCCAAGATCAAATATCCGTCCAGAACAGTGGCAGTCTAGCTTCTAGTCTTGAACAAAAAAGTTGATAACAATGGGCTGAATGCGTTAGGGGCTCTTTGACGGACTGTTTTGGCTCCGTCGTCACCGTCCCAGGGTCCCCCGAAAGCAGCTGTTGGTTCATGTCAGGGGCCTGGAACTAGCAGTAGGCAAGCCCAGACGAGACCCGCCACCGGTAATTGGCTGTCAAGGTGTGAAATGAGCGATGAGACCGTGCACCGCTGTCAGTGTCTTATAAGACTGTCCAGTCCTCGACAGAAGATGTACAGCCATGTATTACGTTCTCAGTCAACCTTAGCAAAACGCTGAACATAGACGACATCATGAGAGATAACCGCGACGATGACGAGGGCTACGGCTCTTCCCGCGATACCAGCGAGCAAGAGTTCCCAGAAAGACGCCACGACGACGTACTCAACAAGGATATGCTGAAGCGTCGATTGAAACATTTTCAACTGTCGGACACTGACTCCAACCACGCAACAGTCATCATCGGCGATCGTTTTTCGAGGCTGATGGCCGGATACTTCAAAGAATGCCTGGACGACTCAGGAGAGTTTGAACTTACGGAGTACATGTATGCCACTCGGCTCTTGTTACTTCGCCTGCTGACAATGGTAGGGATGAGAACCATGTCGGCGCTCGAGATCCTTTCGATCGTGTGCTTTTTTGTACTGTCGGAACTTCCATTACACGGCGCCTTTTGAACAAAGTATACAGGTACTGCCTACGATGCGAGCACGAGTGAGATAAACGCTAAACCTCATGGCTGTTAGTCTTCTCCAACCCGGCGCAACGATCGACATTCAGGTCGCCGTACCGGACCTGATTCGCGCGGCGTCATCTGCCAGTCGAGCGAGAAAAACGTTGAGTAGGATGGAGTGCGACGAGATTTGTAGAGTCGAACGCATGATGCAAGAAATGGGGATTGAAAACACACGTCACATCCATGCTTTCTATCCTGATGAATCGGGACTAGCGCTTGAGATTGCGCAGGGTAAATTACATGGCTGGAATGGCTTGGCTAGAGAGGAGACACAGAGCAGCTTTGACATACTCGCGCACTTTAGTGCCTGGAGCGGCGTGCGCAGCGCGTCACTGTACGTCCAGTCTCGTTGGCTGATGACTAGAAGCTGACTGTCACAGGCACACTTTCCGAGGGAGGAAGCCAAACACGAATAACAAGAGGCCTAGGGACGAGCTTGAAGCAGACAACCGCCCAAGGAAACGAGCCTGTCCGCTATAGCACTGAGATCCCAGGACGGGCTGAAGAGACTTGATGCCGCCGTCAAGATGCAACTGATTTCTCTTTGGGTGGGATGATCTGTGCTCGTAGACAAAGATATTGTTCTCAAACGCTTTTTGGCCACCTAGACAGACAATGTACGACCGACTGCCACTTGGCATAGACTGGGAGAGTCGGAAGAGAGAAATAATCAGGGGGAAAAAAAGTGTCGCCTCTTCCAGCGTAGTACCTTGGATGATCCGATGGAATCGACCGAAGATTTATTCATACGCGATTGTGACAAGACGACAACGGCTTTGCGGGCGCAACGAGCCAGCATCGGCGTACGGGTGTGGGCAACTTCAGCCTAGCCCGAATCCGGGAAACCCTGTCCGCTTGGCGTAGCGGCCGCCGTCAGCTGGAGCGAGTGACTTTGGTCGAGGGGCTCGAGTTTTCCTGCAGGGCAACAAATGTAGCTTGTGTGGGGATCCCTGACCGGCCAATAGAGGTGGGTGGGGGAGTGCACTGATCAACAAGTGTCATGGTGGGTGGGTGTGGAAGCACGACGCTCAGCATGATGTGCGTTTAGGCGACCTTCAGGGTGTCGTAGCATGGAGGGGTGCAACAGACATGCCCCGTGCTCGCAGCCCTCCGGCACACAACGTGGGGAGCTTATCTCACGTTTTAGCGTCCCACACGCGACCCGCTTTTGGCATGCAGGTGGAGCCCCACGCCCGGCCAATCGTTGGAGCCTCTTTCGACTTCATGTCTTGCGCAGTGACGGCCAGCGCAGCTTCCGCGAGCTTCGCATTCGCCGACCGCCATGGGTGTTCTCATGCCAGTGACTGAGCCAATCGCGGACATCCCGTCGCCTTTGCTGCTCGGCGCAGGCAGCCCATTGGGCACTCGACGGCTAGCTGCGGAATGCGGCCATCCACTGTTGGAGTATCTTGGAGTGAGCGACACGTCAAAGATACTTTCTTATTCGTGGGCGAGCGATATCCTGTTGAGAACGTCTCGAGTCAGCTAAGCAGGACTTCAGAGCGCAAGCTGCGTGATAAAGAGAGCGAGTCCTGACAGAAGGAGTGCCGGCTTCCGCAAGTTCACCACGATCACATTTCATACCCTCCACGCCAATCATACCATAGGCGAGCGACCGCAGCATCGAAAAGAATCATGGACCGCTACCCTTACGTCAATAGATACAAGCATGGCGTGGACTGCCCCGGCTGGGTCAACGTCCATGGCGCGCGTTGCGAAGATTGCGTCGTTGTATGTGACAGGCCTGACCGAACGCGAACCTTGCTGACCCTGGACAGTACAACCGCTAGGGTGGAAATCAGGGGTTGGAGTTGATCGACGAGGGGGAGGAAGGGGAGACGGGCGCATGTATCTGCAGCACTCTGTTCTCCAGAATTAACCTTGTTCACCCCGAATGTGCAATTCTGTGAATGTGACCTGGCCGATGAACGCCAACGTGACTGGCCTGCTTCGCCCCGACCCAACGTGATGACTGCAGCTGCGGCGGTGAGCGCACACGACTGCTGTCTGCCTACCGTGGTGCCTCGAAGCCTGATGTTGAATGGCGAACCGTCGTGGACGCCTTGCGAGTCGAAGAGACACAAAAGCACGCCGTTGCCAGGTGTTGTGTCTGATCCGCTTGACACTGCCTTCTGCGGACAACCAGAGCAGAGCAAAGTTCTGCGAATCGACGACATCCACTGCGGATACGACTTGGAAGCAGGGAAGGTGAGACAGACAATGCTGATGGAGGTCCCGGGAGCTGACATACTCGAGCTTTGAGAAGCGGACCAACGCAAAAGCCGAGAGCACAATTTGCGACGATCACAAAGGCCCAGACACCTCACGAAGCAACGCCATCCACATGCGACCCCCACGACAGTCGAGTCTGCCCATCGGCTGAATCCTCCCCGTCGATAGCGCGATGGCTCTCCGCAAACTGGTCATCGGCTTCCGGTCGGGAAATGGGGACAGCCCCGCACAGCTGGTGAGCACCACCCTCCACTCTGTCCGCCGTCTCCACACTCCCGCGCAAGCTAGCGCAAGACAGTCAAGCTGTGACAAGGAGCGTGCCGGCGGGCAACAGTGTTACCATTGCTAATTCCCTCCCACGCACCACGAGACGCGTCTTTCCATTCTCGACAGCAGCTGCGTACGGCGTTTCTTTTCGCGAGCAAGGGTATCTGACATGTCACCGCCGGTGTCTTTGGTGGTGGCACATCCACATACTTCAATGCGACTGGCCCCGATTGGCGGTATGAGGCATGATGTTGATGTAGAAGCGTCCTTCGCCAGCTTACCACTCTTGGAGCTATCGCAGTCACTCGCCCTTCACTATGTCTTGTCCTCTCGATATTCACTCAAACGTGAACCCCGATGCCTTTGACGAAATTGAGAACGTGGATCCTCATAACGTTTACAACATGCTGATGCGTAAGAAATCCAGTTCATGGAGATCATCCAGATCAGTAGCTAACTCCTCGAAGAACCACCGCCGCTTTCCAGAAGTGTCGAATCGAATAGTGAAGACGAAACCCCCGGTATTCGATTGAACGATGGTCCTAGCCAGACACGGCCTCTCGTTCGAAGAGAGAATTCCACTAGCCATGGGAACGAGGATTTCTTCGACTTCATTCACGAGACCACCACACCTCACATGCCCCCGAAGAAGATGCCTGACACGGCGCTTGAATCACTGTCGGATAACAATCCTACATCTGTCACTCCTGTTTCCTCTCTAGAACAGGAGAACTCCCCAGTCGCTCCGCATCCCGGGAACAAATCCCACAATCCTACCGACGGCAGTTTCTCTTCCTCGCAAGCCTCAGTTGCTTGTACTGCGTCAGAAACCCCTAAGGACGCAAATTCCAATGAAGAAGGCAGCTATCCGAGAAGCTGTCTTCCATCCAAAACCGATTGGACCTCTGACGGCCCGTTGGAAACCTCTTCTTATGCTGATCGAGTATTGAAAGACTTCATCAACGGCAATGCGTTTGATGACACGTCCCCTGACGGCTCGGACACCGACTATGTCGACGAGAGCGCCATTGACGACGAGGATGATTCTTCCGACTGCGCAGACTCGATCGAAGACAGCAACAAGTCCAGCATCGACGAGAAGACCTTCCAGCGGGTCGACTCGAAGATTCACCTACGCTCGCGCCGCTCTCTCATTACCCTCATGATCAACGGGCAGAGCAGACGCGGCCGGGCTGGCAACATTGCCTCTCAGTCTACCTCAGCACTCCCTCCGACTCGCATCAGCCATTCAGTATCATTTGACTTGGCTGTCTCTCCCAACGACTCCGACGATGCTGCTTTGACAATGAAGCGTGGCGACCGCTCCTTGTCTCAAAAGCCCATCACCGAGGTGCCCCCTTCCGTCGCTCGTCCTATGCCTGCGACTGCCAGCCACAGCCACCTACAGGCCGCCCTCACCCCACGAACCACACGACGCAACATGCTCGCGACTGAGCTTACCGAGTCTCTCCGACGAAATCTGCTCTGGGAGCGCCAACTAAAGTCCTCGACCGCCAATGCAGTTCTCAAGCGCCGCCATATTTCTCACGAAGTCGGCAGCCTGAAGCAGTATCCCGAGAAGGCCTACATAAACGAGAACGAGGATATTCCCGACCCTTTTCAGGACTTCTCCAAGAATTATTACGGGGGTTACCACTCGAATGGCTGGTGACATACATGGCCTTGGTGTATTCGAAGCATTGTTTGACTCACGCGGGGTCGCCCGGGATTGTGAATGTCGTACGCAGGCGCGCGATGAGCCACGGATCAGTCTGAGGCAGTGATGGATTCATGATGATACGATGAGAAAATATGGTAACATTTGTACATATAAGAAGTAAAAGTCGCACCTGTAAAGCATGTGGCGCTGTGTTGGAAATCGCCAGAACCGAGGACCATATTACGGTCTACGATGTGCCTGCTCCATCATGTCTTCCGCTAGACCGCACACTTTTGAGATCCCGCAACATCATCACAACATCCGGACTCAGCTTCCTTACTCAGAACTGCACCATGCTCTCCCATATAGACACGACCCCTGTTGCTATGCCAGAACACACCATAGACTCGGCAGCATGCGAGGAAGACGTTTGCCGGCAGGGTGAGCCAAAAGACAGCCTTCACAACACAAACTCAGCAAAGGCTTCTCTTATTAGGGGAGACGTACCAGATACGAGGTTACGACGTCCTCGAAAAGGGCGGCGAGGGGTGCCGAGACAAAGAGTCCGTGGCATACCAGCAGCGTGTAGCTGGTGACGAGGAACTGAGTGCCATTGTCCCGAGGCGACATCAATGCCTCGCGGAGAGGGCTTCTGAAAGACCATGCCGACCAGAGACCATTACCAGAAAGCACGAGTGCCAAGGGCTGCAGAAGGAACGACGGTGAGTGGTTCCTGGCGATCGCGGACGTCACAACAAAAGCGACCCCGCAAGTGAGTATAGCGGTGAAGAAGAGTCTCGTCTCAGGAGTACGCCGTCTATGGCCCTGAAGAATCAACTGCATGTTCTCATCAGACTCCATGCGCTTGAATGTGAAGAGATTCTACCTGTGTTGCGTTTAGGCATGCGGCTTGGGCGAGGAGGGGGATGGTCCACTGCCTGCGATGCCTGAACCACTGAATGAACAGCACGCAGAAGACCGCAGTACCGATGGCATGAGCCACCAGAAATGAGCTGCATGCAAGAGGACGCGGACATCGACAGAGGCGACGACATGCGACACTAGCTGTTACGAGGGTGACGAGTGACGTGATAGAGACAATAGCCACAGTGGCCGCGGGATGAGCACTATTCATGGCGAAGAGAAAGACAAGATGACGAGGGAGTAAGCGACTGAGTTTCGGGCGCTGGGTGTCTTCAATTAGATGCTATTGGATGGCAGAGAAGTATTCCCGGCCGTAGTCGTAGACTCGAGATAAAGAAACTGCCCATCATTTTCGCTTGCGGAAAACAGATTGGTGTGCCTGAAAAGAATGGGCTTGGAACGAATCACCGACGAGGAATTTTACGATGTATAGAGCTGCTTTGCGCTACTCAATTCCTCTTGTTCTCATATGAAAGTCGTGTACAACCGGCTTCTTCCCATGCCCGCAAACCCCGCTTGTGCCCCCCCCCCCCCCAAAAAAAAAAAAAACCCCCCAAAGAAAAAAAAACCAACGAGACTCTTAGTTCGCTTTTCCTGAACAACTTCCACTCCTAGCTCAAACTTTCACATCTATATCTTCGTATTCGCTCAGGGTTTTGGCTGCCTTAGCTCTTTGCGTCATTCGCAGACTCGCCCGGAAACTGCGGACGTCTTTGATGGGTACTGGCTCCGGCGTGCTCGCTGCTCCGCTCTCTTCTGTCTTGATCCCGTCCATCGTGGCTTCCGTCTCTGTCGAACTGCTCGCCTGAGCATGAAGGTGTACTGAAAGCTTTGCGCGCGTTGAAGAGCCAGGCTTGATGTACTGCTGGAAGAACTCGACCATTTCTGCCTTCGTGAGCGACTTGATGTGGGCGGCATTGTCTTGCGCTAGCAAGGGGTCAACATTCAATCATCATTTCAAAGAGGTTGTCTACTCACCCAGCTCGAAGTCGTAGTATCCACTGGCGATCTGAGCCCAGTGACGATCGCTCTCCTGGTCAAGATTCTTAAGCTTCTCCAAACACTTCACAATCAAACTTCGCTTGTGGCCCTCGAAATCGGTCTCGGACATGGAGTCCAGGTTGTTGGCAAAATGGTTGAGGAAAGCTTCGATTCTCGACTCGAGGTACTCAGGCGTTCGCTCACTCTGAATGATGAACCGGAAGCCATAGGTGGTTGAGAAGCTTCGGAGTCCACTAAAGACAACGTAGCCCAACTGCTCCTTGGTTCGGAGTTGGTTGAATGCCGGCTCCTCGGTCATCTGTTCGAGGAGCATTGTCTTCGCCCGCGTTATGCGGTCGCTCTTGTCCCCAACATACAGCCACACCTCGATGCAGTGATTGACGTTTGCTGGGTCCTTCAGCGTCTTCTTGTAGACGTAGTTTGATCCAGCGGGGAGAACAAGAGATCGAATGACGGGCAACTGAAGGCGGGGTAATTCACGCGGCTTCAGGATCGTCTCAATCATGTCAGTCAACTTGAGAGCGTCCTCCTTGTAGAGGTTGCCGTGCACGTAGCTTTCTATGTGCATTTGTGAAAGCATCTGCTTCCTGAACTGGCGGACGTCCTCAGAAGCTATGTTGGGCAACTCAGTCAATGACTCCTCAACAACATAGTGTCGCTCCGAGTTGAGCCAAGTTGTGTAGTCTGAAACCTGGTGGAAGGGCTGCCGAAGCTCCTGGTTATTGTACCCTCGGGATAGGCGCTCCTTGATGATTTCGAACCTCTCATCCTTTATCCTGAGGTCGCGTATTGTGACAAGAACCTTCTCCGAGAGAACCGCAAACTTATCATTGTACCTAGTGAGTTTGAGAAACAAGCCACGAGCATCAAGAGCGAAACTATACTGCAGACCTGCGAGCTCCGCATCATACGAGTAGGCCTCCAACGCATCCCTAACGAGGTCGGTAAACAGCTTCGCCTTGACGGCATTCTCAGCAGTCGAGTAGATGCTGGGGTTCCGGCAGCTAATGATGAGGTCCGCCTTGGGCACCCAGAATGTGTCATCTCTCTTGAACCACACCCGAGCGATGCTGTCATTCCGTACAATACGCGGCGCCACTGCCGGCTCCTGGACCTCCTTCTTCTCAACATCGAGCTTGGTGGGAATAAACTTGTTTTTGCGGGGGAGGTGAAGCTCTGCGAGTCTGTCGGAAGCGGTACTTGAGGCAGCCTTCTTGATCTCCGCCATGAAGTCGTCGGGAATCTTCTCCTGACGGTAATCGGTGCCGTACCACGTCTCCTTCTGATCCCAGTCACCAGGGAATGATGGTCAAGCGGAAGTTATCGGGTCTCAGGCATTTCAAGCCCATCTTAATCAGCTCAGAATCGAACTTGCGCAGTTGGCTGTTACCATTGAGGAGCCACTCGCGCGGGAGAGGCTTCTGCCTAACGGCACTAGCATGGCTAGTGAAGTGGTTTTCTGGAGTTTTTTGCTTGAACTTGAAGTTTATATCGTCCATCATCTTGATCTCGTCAAAGATCGACTCCTGGGCCGGTGACTCCCGGAGAAGAGAGAAGTATTGGAAAACTATCTTGATAACATTCTCGTATTTTTTGAGACCCTGTGATCTGCTTCAGTATGAGAGGTCGCCGTACGATTCATGAACTCTGAGCTCACCTCCTCGGTGAGGATTATCTGGCATTCAAAGATATCAGGGGTGCCTGCGCAGACTGGATGTACGAAGGCTTTCAGGTTGTCTGCCCAATCCCTCTCCTTGAGATAAGCCATGATACTTCCAGGCCCCTTGTGGCCGATCAGGTGGCTGATGTATCGGCTGGGATGAGACTCAAACATGCCCGTCTGGTCGAGGAATGGGAAACATATGCTCAGTTCGAGCGAGTCCATCACCGGCTTGGCGAACACCTGCACACCGAGCTCGCTTTCGCGGAAGGGCACCTCGGCCTTCCAGCGGTTCGGCACCAAATCCTTGTTGGGGACCCCATTAAACAACTCTGAGACCCAGCCCTCTAGAATGTCCAAAGGCTCCCGTTCCAAAGCCACCAACTTCATCCTGTTCGCCGAGTAGTGCTTCTCGTGGAACTCCATAAATTTGGCTTGAACAATGACGTCGTTGGCCTCTGGTTGGGTCTTTAGAACCTCGAAGTTGCCGGTCGAAAAGTGATTGAAGGGGTGGTTGGGGCTGGATAGACTTTGTCTAAGCTGTCTTGGTCGCCATTGGTCGCTCTGCAGGTTCTTCTTGTTCTCTGAATCGACAGCGCGCAACTCTCGGTCCAGGATCGATTCGAGGAAGAGAGGCTCGATGAAGAACTGGGCGAAACGGTCGAGCGCACCTTTGAAGGGAGAGGGGTTCGAGGCCGAGGGCTCCATGTCATTGGCAGGCTTTGTAGAAACATCGAAGTAGTAGTTGGTGGAGGTTGCTCCCGTGTATGCGTTTGAGGTGCCAGAGTTGGAGGCGAGGTACTGGGAGTATTCGTTTTCCATGAGGAACTTCTTAGTGCCCCTGGACAGAAGCTGCGCAGAAAATTGTCAGCCAAGGGGGGCGAATTTTGGTGTGTATGGAAAGGCGTACATGTTCCACGATATGGGCCATGCCAGGCATGGCTTTTTCGTCGCTGAAGCTTCCGACATTGACGTCGAGGGCGGCGCTGGCCTTGTCCGTCTCTGGATCGTGAACCAAGAGGGCCTCGACAATAGGGCCTCGAGCTTGTTGGACAAACGAATGACACGGTAGGTTCTTTTGTCGGCCAGAGGCTTTTCGAAATTTTCCGTGACCCGCTCGATAGGTTTCGGCTTGGGCGCTGTCATGGCGGGCGTGAAGAGTCACGATGGGAGAAGTATTGGGAAAGCTTGGTGTGTGTGGTTAGGATTGAGAATCAGGGGCAGTGGAAGCTCTGCTCGTGTTCTCTGCAACTTACTGCTTATCAAGACGGAGTGGTCGCTGTACAGCGTTTACCTTCTCGCTGTGTTCATTCCATTGGGCCCTTGTGGTGCGGGGCCGAGAAGATACGTACGGCCGACGAAGCTTCTTAGACGGCAGCTTCGCTCATGAGAATGGCTCCCAGTCACGGTTTCTCGCAAGCGCACCACAAAGCCTCAGCTGCATGACCGACTTGAGACGGAGCTTACTATGCGGTGTCCGCTTGGCGAAAGCATCAAGCGATGCACCGCTGTCGCTTTACGCACTATGCCTGTCTATCTGGACCGCAGCACATGCGGACGCTGGATTCGTCACAGTGGGCCGTCGCATCTCACCAGCATATTGGTACGGATGGTTTGTCGCCGCGTTTGGGAGCGTGATGCTCTAGACGAGGCGGCCGCTCAGAGACAGGCTTCGTCCATGAGTGCCACCTGTTCAGGGCCAGCGCGTGGGTCCGTTAGGAGCGTGGAGGGGGTCTGAGCATGGCCAGGCCCTACGAGGAGCGACGGTTGGACGACGCTTGTACCCAGCATGGCCGGAAGGGGGTGTGTTTGCAGCCGCCCATGAACTGTCAACGCCCTGGCCCCTTGCGGATTGGGTGGTGTCCACCTTGCGCCACGGCTGTCCGTCTGATCCACAGATCAGCCGTCTCTGGCCGTTACGAGCCTAGTCTATGCGTTGACTGACGAACGACGGTCAATATTTGTCGTCTGGTCGCGGCATTCCGGGTGCGATTAGACGACGTCGCGTAGCAAGGGACTCGTTGCGGAGTATGATGGGCTGGCGGGTTTTCAGAACTGGAGTCCGCCGGGGACTGTTAGGCCGAAGCCACGTAAAATCCATGCAAATGAGCTAGAGACATTGATTGTGGCTTCTGTTTCAGACAAACTCGTGGTTGGTTCACACGTCCCATGGTGGTACATAAAAGAACTCGAACTTCTCTCTGGCCCTCGCCAATATGACCAGCATGCGCTGTCCGGTTGTCTAGCGGAAATCTAATTATCTCGGGCTCTCAAGTTCACCTTATATAGCCATTTACTGACCTTCTTTCTGCTATGCATCTACTTTTCCTCCAATCTCTCAACCCCAACCTTGACGGCCTGTTGTGGTCCACGCACACTGTCCGCGGATCAATATTGCACGCGAAAATCAGGAAATAATATCCATTCTCATCTATGGGGGTGATTCTTCGCGTCCATACCGATGCACAAAAATGCGTGGACAATTGCCAGATCGCATTTTGATCACGATAATCGACCTTTATGTTTCTCACATTCAAAAAACGTAAAAGCGCATTTCATGGATAGTTTTTTATGATGCAGAAAACGAACAAAGACTTGGTCTTATTCCTGCGTCTGCGTCGAAGTCGCGACTTTCGAAACGCGTCAATGGTATATTGGACGTCGGAACAATGAACAGGCGGTCCTGGACCTGGATTCTGGACAACTTTCGTCGGTCTTTCATCCATTCGCAACACAAAAGGGTGTTCATCTTCGACAACGATGTCTTGGAGTTACCACTAGCACCGGCTACAGATTGGATCGAGAACTCTTTGACCAGATACGGGTATCGGGCCAGCCCAGCTGGCGCTGAAACCACTGTCCGGCAGAGGTGGATGCCTCAGATGTGTCTGCTTCCACCACCGTCAGCGTACCTTGTGCTTGAGAATGTTCAATTCGTCACCATCGACGACTTGAGTCGTCTCTGCCCTCACAACACCTCCTCTTGCGACACCGCTTCGGAGGATATCACCGGATCACTACACCGCCTACCGAGGCTAAGGGCCGTGACAGCTGATTTGGCCCGGAAAACTATCAGCGAGTCCGCAACCGACTTCCGCCCTATTCAAGATGCTCTGCCAGAACTTAGCACCTGGGCAGACGAGCTTGGCTCCCGTTTTGCCGCCATTTGGCGGCCGCTACAGGAGAAGGGAGTTAAGCTCTACCTCAGAGACCCTACAACGAAGCAGCCATTTTCGGAGATCGTAGTGAAGGAGCAAGCTCTGATGGTTCGCGGCGTTTCGACTCCGTTAAAACTCACAGCAGTGTGAGCGTCTGGCACGCAACATACTCACGAAGGTTTTGCAGGCGCTAGCGAACTCTCTACTAGAAGAAATCGGCCACTGGAAGTAGGTGCAATATAAATAACACATTTATCGTAATTCAGAGTCATTTTCTACGGTCACTTGGAAACTCCGCATGAGGCCAATGTCGGCTCAGGCGGCTTGTATGCATAATCCCGTCCAGACTCAATCTGCTGCGAATCTCTCCCCATCGGAGCTGTGAGTGTCTCGTGACTTTTGATCCAACGGCTATGTGATGCTACCCTCTTTGATGAGCAGAGAACTGATTTGCTCCGTGAGATGTTTGCATCCCATGTACCTTTTGCATACCGAAATAAGGCAAACGACTCCGGGATTGCAGTGTAAGGGCGACGCTAAATGGGTCATGTTATCACGCCGATAATCAGCGTCTACGACGTATGTACAGTACAAACACCTGAATATGAGCTCCATTTCAATGGAATTTTCTGGCAAAATACTTGTTTGCACATAAACTCAACACCTACCACGGGTTCTTGCAATGTTCTTTGGAGGAATACCGCGCAGGGATACCAATTCATTCTCAGTAATGAAACGTCTAAGTAAGCACAGAATTGAGGTCGACACTGATTGAAACACCGATCGGGTGCTCGCAACGCCCCCATCAGCCGAATGCAGGACCTGGCCCTAAACCTTTCCGTCGCCAGCATCCTTCAATTCGACCGCGGACTGAGGATCGCTGAATACGAGAATCCCATTGTCGGGATGGGTTGTTGCAAGTCCGAGAGCTGTCTGTACTTCGGGCACTGTTGGTAGTTTGAATGGACCACCTGCGTGGCTGCCGTACTTTTGGTCCTCGCTGAGCCTCATTTGAGTGAATGCTCTGGAGTGTCCGTTCAGAATCTTCATCAGAGCAAGCGGACTGAAGCCCTCGCTAAGGACCCTGACCTCGTTGAAGGATATAGCGCTGTATATGTCTCTGTCGCCCGATTGATGATCATCTAGCTGGTGATGATACTTCATCACGTCGGGCGACGGATTGCCCTCGAAGAGGACTACCTGGATAGAAAACTCGGAGCCACCGCTTTTGACAGCTTTCAAACGCTTTTTGAGCGATTCCATCTCCTTGCGTTCAAGAGGGGATGCTGCGAGCAAGATGATGTTGGTAGGATGCGAGTCCTCTTCGTCAGACAACCGCAATTGCAGTGCGATCGACCGGTCAATGGTGAAGCGAACGCTATTCCGCAGCTTTGGCTGTTCCCGTGCCTTCCCGACAGCCGTTTTGTAGACATCGACCAACTTTTGCTGTGTTAGATCCTGCGCTCTCCAGCCTTGCCAGACTCCGGTCATTTCCTCGCGAGCGTGAGCAAGCAGACGGTTGTGCATCTCAGAATCCGACAAACGTTCCATGGTCTCCTTCAGCATCTGATGTCTGATAAGATCCGACATCCACCCCTGGAACCCCATGCTCTGGAGACTCTGAGACTCTCCTACAATTGCTAGAGCTTCGTCCCAGCTTGAAGACTTGAAAAGCTTCTCCAGCTCCTGCGCCATCTGGAGCTTCACCTGGGATACGTGGCCGCTGTCGCTGTTGCTGTAGCTGGTGGCGAAGAAGCTCATGTCGCTCTGGTGTGCTTCTCCCAGAAGTCGCAGACAGGTAGCCTATAGTTGTATACAAAGCTGGGCTTTAGCATCTTGTCTGAAGTTGTCGTCTAAATACACGTGAACTTCTCTATGTTTGAGTGACAGAAATCCTCGCTTTCCCTCGGCTTCCCGGGAGAGACGGATGAAATCAGCCTTTGATCTGTCTGGATCTGGATATTTGGGCAAGTCCTCGTCTGCCGGGAAAAAGAGGCGAGGTTGAGGGCCGCTGTGCGTATCCATCATGATATGCGAAGCATTCCTGACTGGGGCAGGGCCAAAGTCCATCTGGTGGCTAGGGTATGATGGCGTCTTGGAGAGGCAGGAGCCCATTGTGATGAGAGCTAAAGATGACTAAAGAGGGTTGGTAAAGATGATTGTAAGACGAAGTTCCTGTACGATGAGCATGGGCATTCCTAGCCTTCTATGTAGTAATCGCCGGAGCGATCGGTAGTCCCGATCCCTAATTCGGGCTTGACCAAGGTGCGGCGATGCGAATCATCATTATGGCCACGTCGAGACGAAGAAAGAACGCCTGGTAGGCTGACTCAAGAAAAGACTACGCGACAGCTAACCGGTTGCAAAGAAGGCAAATGCCAGATACAGACACCGCCACGTTACCTCCTGGCCAAGCTCCTCGCAGCCTCATGATGTGATCAGACAAAGTACCGTACATGGGGCGAGGTTGATTGCCCATTCACTGCCTCCGGTTGTGGACGTCGTGGACAAAGTGTAGTGGCAGCGTTTGGTGGGGATTCCACGGCACAGAGAGGAGCAGAGGCTTGTCGTTGACGGCCCTGGTCTGGCCAAATGAGCTCGCCCCGCGGACATATTGCAAAGACCGAGGGGACGGCCGGTGTCCCCTGCCGACCCGCAGTTCATCTCAATCCAGCGGGACCTCCGTCGATGATTAAGCGCTGGTCAGAGCTTCGGGGGTGCACGCAGCAACAAGTGGCTCCACAGACGGTGGTAACTGGGTAGGCCTGTTGGGACCCTTGTCCGGAGCCTGCATTGACGCTCGCCTGGAGCACCAACAGCAGAAAACAGATCACACACCTCCCTCCCCTGTCATCCACGGGCGGGGGCTCCTTGCAGGGCGACTCATACGGTGGCACTATGCGGACCCGCTCGTACCTTACTTCCTGGCAGAACACTTTCGTGCGTACCCAGCCCCGTCGTCGAGGTCCCTGACGGGGTGAGGCAGGGTGTGCGAGACTCTCGCGACGGGGGACAAGTCATTTTGCTGATCTCGAGGTGGAAGGGCCCCGGCCGAGTAACCATCCCTGCACACCGGTGCTCTTCCAGAGGATCGCAAACTGGCTCCGTGGCTACCGCAACCAAGGCCGCCGTGCCGCGGAGTGCAGCCAATAGCCGTTCTGGCGTGCAAGACGCTTTGGGACGTGCGAACTGCTCGGCGCAGCGGCCCAATCGAGGGCCGGGCTCGTACAAGCTCCCCAGCGCCCCGCAGCCAACCGAGTGGCCATTGCCAATGCCAGTCCCGGCTTTCGTCTGGTTTTGCGTCGCCCTCGCATGGGACACTTACGTGAGTCTGCACTCGTTGGCTATCCCCCGCATGACATGTTGTATGAATGACGAGAATCCCTCGGCGTGGTGCTGTACGTTGTCTCTGTCGGGCTCCTCTGACGGCCACGGGTGAGGCTCGTAGTGGCAGTTAACAGCGCTATTCATGACTCAGGACAGCCCTCCGCTGATTTCCGCGCCAATACCTATCCTTGAAGCAGGTATTTCTCGAATCACTTTGCGGCTTGGCACTAGGCTCGACTCGCTTTTGCACTCATGGCCGAGGAGAAATGTTGTATCCAGTCACGCCGGACAAGGATTCGTCCCGCCTTCAAGCGGCAATGAACAACACAAGCCCAACCATAAAACCCACCAGGAACACAGGCCAACACCGCCGGATTATCATATACATCTCGAGGTAGATACAATTGGCAAAGGTGGCCATCACGAACCAATCTCTGTCGCTTCGGGACCAGATAAGGTCGTGCCTGGAACATAGTTAGCCGCGGCCGTTATCTTTTGTCCCTCAATCCTCACCATTTCCATATACAACGAAGAATTCGGATGGCTCGTGGCAGCAGCCGACTGCATTCAGTGTACACGCCATTGTGAAAGGCGTAGAGGGCCACCAGGAAATGTATTTGAGCATCTTCAAGGGTATTTCCACGCTCCCGATCGACCATGATGTCAATGGCCAGCCTCATATAGCTGATTTCGGGTTTGGCTGCAAAGTTTGGCGCCGGACCGATACCTGTCCAGGTCACTTGCTCCTGTTGGCAAGGTTGGCCAAGGCCCATGATAACCAGCGCAAAGGCGTCTCTCCTGGTGGGGCAAGACGTCTTGGGATCAATCCATCTCCGAATGAACGCAGATACGAGTTCTTCCAGCCATGAACAAGGCAGGCATTGGTATTTGCGGAGTATTTGTGTCGGACTGGTGGCCTCCGAGCGATTCGTAGTCCCTTCGATGTTTTTCGCTGCCTATCCGAGGTTGCTACCAAGGTCGTTCGAGTTGAGATGGGTGAAATCAGGAAAGAAAGCTGAACCAGTGTTCAACCAAAACGAATCAGGCTCTTGGTGTCTCGACGGCCTGCATCCGTCCGCACACAAGCCAGTCTTGCTGGAACTCATGATTGCCGTTGTGCACTCGACGCCGCGTCCTCCCGGTTCAGTAGTGTCTACACGCGCTGCGTCAGCATCACGTCCGGTCACGATGGCTCTTGCGCATCGCTCCCATGTTCAAAGGCAAAAGCCTGGTGGATGAATTGACTCACGGCGAAGATGGATGGTTTGCGCCGCCTGTGTATGGCGAGAGACGCAGCAGCAGAGAGGGTGCTCGGGGGCCGAAAGTCATCTGCAGACGGGGTATAGCAGCGATTTGATACGGACCTTATAAGCGGGGTCTTGGCCCCGCCCCAGCTGAAGATGCTACACGTGATTTTAAATCGCCTGAGCAGGCTTTCATTTCCCCTCTCGACCAATTTTTGCAGCTAGCTGCTTCCCGCACAGTGTTTCCCTGGGGTGGCGGTGTTTCTCGAATCACTTTGCTGCTTGGCACCAGGCTCGAGTTATTCTGTGCCCACAATCGGAGAAAGGTGATTAACTAAGTGGTTCCAGGCCTGATTTCGGCGTGACTCTATCGGCCAAAACGTAGTACATACGAAAAATGCATCATGACTGCAACCCAACTTGATCACGACTGACCACCATATTACATGCGCTCAAATACCGTTGGCTCGTTGACGTCTTGTTCTGCATTCTGGCCGAGAGACGGGATCATGACCGGGTTGCGTATATTTCCGGGCCTAAAATGTATTCCTGGCTGCCACTCTCGATGTCTGTTACCCCCGAACCGTCACCGTTCTCGAGTCTTGCACGTTGGGCCGTAGTTTTCATATTGTTGCTGCCACCTTGCTGCGGCTGGACTCCCTCGGCACGGGAGTCTTTCGGAACGTTTCTGAGTTCGTGGAACTCAGTCATCCTGCGAATGTTCTCGCTCGGCGACTTGTAGTACTTGTGGGACGAAAGGCCGGAGCCGCAGAGCGCGCGTTGATAAAGAGGCCGAAGGATGGGTATGCCAATGCAAATCATCGTCACCGCCAACTCAACGGCTGACCATATGATGAGGGGCACGGTATCTTCTGTACAGCTGTTAGCAAGGTCTTGCTCTACCTCAAATCAACACTCTTTACCCACTCGTATAGTTCTCAGTGAATCCCGAAGCAACTTCGTAGGTGCGAACAATACCGGCTCCTCCAGCTCTGAAACAAAATCAGCCGTTTACCACGTGAAGGAGTTCGGAAGATGTAGCCCTACATAATACCAAGGCTCATACTGGCGGCGATGACAGCTTTCTTCTCTCGCTTCATATTCAAGCCCCATATCAACGCAAGGGGGAAGATGGCAAAGAAGAAGTCCGCGATGATGCAACAGACTACAGTGTGTTAGGACCGTCTCGAATGAGGGGGACCACTTAATGTACCACCCAGCGTGACTGCGAAAGGAGTAATCTGTATATCGCAGCTGGCAGTGGGCCGGAGTCGGACGTCGTAGATGGCCCTGACAGGCACGCACTGAACCCAGAACAAGACAGCCGTCGCAACCGAGACAAGCATAAGGCCGATTATTGCTGCCCATATGACGACTCGATGCCATATCTGCGTGAAGATGCGCAACAGGAACAGCCCAAGAGAGATCTTGGAAATGGCCATTCCAAGTACAGCAAAGGTCTGTCCGATCATTTCCCAATAGATTGCGTCGGCCACATCTTGCAAAGAGCCTGCAGACATGATGTCAGAAATAGACTGCCCGAAACCGTATCTCAGAGACACCTGAAGGAAGACGACGTAAAGTAGAAAGAAGATCTGGGAAGCATGACAGTTAGTACAGTTGATCTCTCAATGATGATGTATCAGATTCACCGCAGCAAGCGTGTAGACAAAGTCGTCATTGCCGAGCTGTTGGATGATGAACTGTCTTGTGATAAGACGCAGAATGGCGAAGCTCAATGTGATGGCCGCCAGTGCCCACATTATAGCTAACGCCGTTGGGCCATCACCTCCAAGGGGGATCATTGTGACTGTTGAAACAGTAGAACCGGAAGGTGTTGATATGTTTTGACTGACTTGGCTATAGCCGTGGATGATAACAAGAATTTGAAGTCTTTCATCTGTGGCACGAGGCTCGGGAGAATGCCTGGCTGTTATATCCGTAGTCTACTACCACCACGAGCAGAGCCGAGACCCCATTGCACCATCCGCAGCAACAATGCAGAAGTTGAGACCGGCAACATCAATTGAAGCAGGGTCGTATTGTGAGCGATGATCTTCCGTCATGCCATTTTTTTCTGCAGGGTCGTTAACCGGGGAAGCTGTCCGCGACCACGCCTGTTTGGCATCCGTTTTCTACTGCGGTACCTGGCCGAAGTAAATGCTCCCTGTCAGATTCCTGTGGTTCAGGCGGACCAGGTGTGATACATTGATTACAGGCGAAAGACCAGCCTCTCAGCAGTTGTTCCAGAGTTTCCCGTGGGCCGTCAGTCTCCACGCTACCAGCCCGGGAGGTTCTACCTACCCATACTACCATAATAATGATACCTCTGGTATCATTGTCCCCTGTTCTGCACTACTGCGTATATAGCTACTCCGGCTAGCACTCCAACTGGTCGAGACGTAACATATACCCTAGCTGGTACGTCCACACCGCCCTCAGGCAGGGACACTGGCAGGCACCTCAACACTATGTAGACCCACCTGAGCCGAGGAAAGGTGCCCCCTGGACCCCCAAATTAATCCAGGGCTTTCACACGTTAAATTTGCGCTCATCTCCGCCGTGTGAACCGTAACGGACACAGCTCTCTTCACTTTCTCGCCCTCAGTCCTGCAGCCGATTCCCCAAATCTTATTCGCATTCTACACCCCATTATGGCAAGCCCACACACGATGTCTGAGTCCCTGAGCCAACTTCAAGGCAAACACATCCCCGATATGATATCATTTTCTTTCTTGGTCTTCACAGCAATAGTAACGTATCTTTTATGGGGCTTGTACTCGTATTTCCTCTCACCACTGAGGAAGTTTCCGGGCCCACGCCTGGCAGGTAAGCTCACACGCCGTTTCCTTCTTTCGCTGGGCCAACTGCCGGATTCTATCCGTACCCGCTTTCACTTATTTCACTCGCATGCAAATCTCGACATTGGTTAATCGTCTGCGTTGCGCATAGCATGGACAAGACTGTGGTATCTTCTTCAAGTCAAATCGGGCGCCTCACACCTTGTGCTGAAGCGACTCCACGAGGAGCTTGGACCGATCGTTCGAATTGCCCCCAATGTCTTGAATATCAATCTTCCGGAATGCATTGACACGATTTACGATCGTAAGGGGGAATGGCGGAAGGTACGTGAGTCTCACCGTTCGAGGTTTTGTCCGTGACTAAACCACAGTTCTAGACCGAGTTCTACCACGGCAGCAGTGCCCTCGTTGACGGGGAGATCATCTTTAACCTCTTCAGTGAGACAGATCCTGAGAGGCATAAACAAGAGAGAAAGCAGGTTGCGAAGCACTACTCTCGACGAAGCATCTCATTTCTAGAGCCGAAGATGAACGATACCATCAAGCTGCTTTGTAACCAGCTTGATAAGCAGTGTATCGGAAGCCCAGGCGCCGAAAAGAATGGTTGCGATCTGGGAGCATGGATATTGTATTGTAAGTAGCCGTCAAAAGCATTTAGTAACCCGTAGAAGTCTATTCACTCACACCTTGAGCAACAGATGCTTGGGATGTTGTCGGCACCGTCACGTTTTCGCAGCCTTTCGGTTACCTCAAAGAGGGCCGCGACTTTGATGCCACACTGGGTATTGCCAAAATTGCCATGGAGTATTTCGCCGTCATCGGCACTGCCCCGTTTCTAGACCGCCTACTAGCCAAAAACCCCATCTTCCCCATGGGACCGCCAGGGTTCGACAACATCACAAGGATTTCCGTCAACCACCTCCGCCAAAGATTGCAAAAAGTCCGTAGTGACCTTGATAGTCCCGGGATTCAAGACTTTCTGGACAAATTTCTCGAAACTCAGAAGGCTGCCACGGGCAGTGTCAACGAGGCTCAAGTAGTCTCCTGGCTCATGATCAACATGATCGCAGGTGCCGACACAACCGCAGGCGCCATTCAAAGCGCGCTTTATCACTCCTTAAAAGACCCCCGCATATGGGAGAGACTGACCAACGAGATTCTTCAGGCTAGGTTCAACGACGAACCACCGAGCTATGATTCCGCACGCGACCTTCCCTATCTGAAAGCAGTCATCTGCGAGGCTCTTCGCATGTCGCCTGGAGTCTGCATGACAATGGAGCGCTACGTTCCTAAGGGGGGCATCACACTTCCTTCGGGTGATTATATTCCCGAAGGTTACATTGTGGGAATGAACCCATACGTGACGAACAGAAATCGTGAAATCTTCGGCGACAAGGCCGATGACTTTTGTCCCGAACGATGGGTACAAGACCAGAATCGTGGGGAGACTCAAGAAGCGTATGAAAAGCGAATCAAGGACATGAAGTCCTGCGACCTCACTTTCGGCAATGGCAATCGCAGATGCATCGGAGAACTCATGGGTTTAACTCAGGTTTATAAAGTGGTGTTTGCGTTGATCACTCGCTACGAGATGACCTTAGTCGACAGCGAGCGATGGAGTGTCAAAAACTTCTGGTTTCTCCAACAAGAAGGCTTGGAGGTGGAGATTAAGAAGCGAACGCGGAGATAGAGAATACAAACCGCGGCGAACACTCAGCGTGCTGTGCAACCGGCATTTCGAGGTGCTAGCTTGAGTTCAACTTGCATGCGCGGCAGAATGGAAAGGGGTGCTGGGTACAGCTCGATAGGGACAGGTAGAATTGTTTCATTTTGCATCGCTTCATGCATCCCAGAGCGCAACACAGGTGCACGCGGGAAACCGTTCTCTGACAGATGCGTTTTGTTCTGGAAAGTTTGAACCCCCTCATGGTGGGGGCTCAGGAGATTCGACCTGTTAGTGCAGTATATTTTGATGTTCTGTAGCTTTGCCGGTTCCTTTCACAGCACCTTTGGTCTCTGAACCATTCCAAAGACCCAGGACGGCTGATTGGGGCGACTGGGTCTCAATGGCATCGTTTTGACACCCCTGAATACATGTGCAGCAGAATCACCGTGACTGCACGGGAAAATGCGACACGTTACTCCGCACCATGATCGTTGGTGAACACGGACACTCCCCCGAAGACTCTGTCTCGTTCCCACGCAGGCCATTCACATGCACCCGCCCAATCTTGCTTGTTTCTGGGAGGCAGCCAAGATTATTCCGGCCATCTGCGTGAGAAGACCTCACGTAACACAGCCTTCCCGAAGCCCCCAAGGAATTGGCA